TACATCGGATCCCTACTTACAAATGGGGTGAGGCAACCCCGCACTAGCTGCTTCCCCCCAGCAGACCAGGGAGAAGTGCAGCTAGTGCCCCCTCCAGCAGACCAAGGAGACGCGGAGCGGCTTTTCTCAGCAGACACCTCAGCTTGAGAATAAAGGACTGAGGGAAGTGAGTTGTGGGAGAATAAAACTGAGCCGCTGCTGAAACTGACCAGCGGCTGACTACAGGAAGCCAGAGGCAGAGTTGCTCTGCCCCAGGCTTCCTGGAATCAGCCGCTGATCAGATTCAGCAGCAGCTGACTTGGGGACACTTGGGTTTCTTAAGTTGAATCTGTATGTAAGTCAGAACTGGCATCCAGATTCAGCCGTGGTTGAAACTGATCAGTTTCAGCAGCGGCTGACGCCAGTTCCGACTTACATACAGATTCAACTTAAGAACAAACCTACAGTCCCTATCTTGTACGTAACCCGGGGACTGCCTGTACTTTATTCCAGATTACTCCCTCCAGTTTGGAAGTACATAGTTGAGGCTTGTTCAGAATCTTAGCCTTTGCTTGTAGATTGTTCTAATTGTAACCGGTCCAACAAAACGATACCAGTTAACTGTCCCAAGTAGACAAGCCCCCACACCGTAGTGTACAATTTACATACATGCTCCTAAAGGAACAATGTCCAGTCAAAATACCTAATATCTAGCTGCAATTCTCAAAGGAATCCACTGGAATTCAATTTCATTAGGATTTGGTACCTCACTCCCTTGAGTGTCACAAACTCCCAGCATTTAGTTTTTACAGTCCCACATTGGCAGCTCTCATAATTTCGTTGCTAGTCTAGCTACAAGTATTGGTGTTTTTCATTTAGCCCCAATCCCTGGGGTTGTGAGGTTTTATTTAGGGGGAGTTTTTAAAATAAGTTTCTATCCCTTGTGGCTGTAGAAAAAGCTTGAAAACACAACTGCTAAAGTTTCAAAAAGTAGAAAGCAAATTAAAAGCACAAAATTATACATTTGAAATTATTTTGAATCCACGATTGGTAGTATTAAAATATATAAGACAAATCGGATTTCCTTTTTTAAAAAATAAACTAATACCATCTTGCAACTTTGGAAACTCAAACACTGCAACAGTGTATTAATACCTGAGAATCTGAAACAGATTCAAAACTGACAAACCAAAGTAAAACTGACTAATGCAGTGTCTCCCAATTTTATTTTGCCATGGAACCCTTTTCAGCTTAAAAGAATTTCAAGGAACCCCTAGGATTGCCAGGGTAAAATTTGTCAAGCAAAACAAAACTCCCCCCCCACCG